ATATTACATAATATAACTTAATATAATTCTATTTAAAATCTCATACAAAATTTCTATATTATTCTTTTATTAGCTCAAGTTATATTAGGTATATATATTTTGTTAATTACAAAGTAATTAACATGGGCTATAGAAGTGATTTATAATGAGATTCATAATGTGCTCAGTCATCATCTAACACCCCAGATATTTTATTAATACTAATTATGATAATTACGCGTAGCCCACCCAACAGTCTCTTTAATATATTTCTATATTTATATATTGTTAATGCTAATTATGATTATTACGCTAAACATCTGTCTCACTCTGATATATTTTATATATATGATTAAATTTTATTTATAATGAGTGCAGGATAATTTTTTTTATTAATAAGAAGTATGTTTCATAAAGATTAATAATGATTTACAATTCATTAAATTAAAATTAATCAAGAGATTGTTAAATTATTTAAAAGTATTTGCCAAATGAAAATTAATTGCAAGTAATTTACAAACTTAGTGTCCTTTAAAGTAAAATATAAAAAATAAAAACCTTTAATTGACTATGACTAAGAATTTTTTTTTGCTCTAAATATTAACGACTTTACTTTAACCTCAGTACTTAATAGTAAATAAATATTTTCTAATTTTCAAGTATTTTATTTTAATTGAATTGTCTTTAATATATTCAAATATTTTATTCATTTATCATTTCCTTCAATTTGCATTCATTTTATTCATATTTAATTTCCTTTCATTTTCGACTATTTTATTCAAAGCGATTGCAGCACAAATGACATTGTGAAACCATAATTGACCTCTGGTCTTGAATATTCGCTGCTTGTCTTGCTCTGTCTTGTTGTCTGCTTTTATTATTTGTTTATTTTATTTGGCAAGGCCACGAAAACCCACAAAATGCTACAACAACAACAGCAGCAGCAACAGCAGCAGCAGACAATAAGGCAAAGTTAAACAAAGTTGGCGCACAGGCAACAGGCAACGGGCAACAGGCAGCAGCAACATCGTCCACAAAAACAACTAAAAATGTGAAGGGCCATGGGGAGGGGATCAGGGCAGCGCGGGGCAGGGCGCAACGGGTTCAGCTAAAGGGCCAGCCTAACAAAGGACGGCGTTGATGTCGTTGCGGCGGAGCTGAGGACGCGTCATGGATACAAAAGCGCCCCGATGAGATGATCGCTGCCCAGTCAGAGTCTCATCCTCAGTGGCTGCTCTCAAAAGTGCGCTGAATGAGCAGCAACAACAACAACAACAACAACTAAAGATATTCGCATCCGTTGCGCTGCGAATTTTCGTAGTCGGCACCCAGGCGCTGGCTACTCCCCGCACCGCACCCGCTCGCCTGAGCCAACGCAAACCTCTGGAATTCGGTGGCCGCGCAACGCTGCATAATGAAAGCCAAATGATGGGAAACCTTTTTATATGCAGCCACAAAAAAAAAAGCTTAAAAAAAGCTATATATATATACAGATAAAAAAGTAAAAGTAAGACAAAGAGCAAAACTAATTAGTCATAAGAGGCTAAATGAAAGCCGAGCAGGCACTTGCTACGATTTGACTTTGAACTCGATTGTAACTCAATTATGAGCTAGCTGGGTGGCCGCAGCCCCCCTCACTGCGGTGCCGGGGCCACCGACAGCTGTCGCGTCTTTAGCCAAAAATGGTAATGTTTACATGCGTGTCCATGGCTACGGGCCCCCCCTATTCGATGTGCCAATGTCCATGTATGTGTTGGCAACACTTTTTGCGTGCCGTTAATTACATGGCCAGGTCGGCTGGCCGGCTGGTCTAGTCTCTCGGTCTCTCTCTGTGGTCTCTGAGGGTCTTTGCGTCTCGCGCCTGGTGGTCTCTGCTTGGTCATTGCTTCCTGGTAGTTCAACTTGTCGCCAGTTGTAAACAGTTAACAGCAGCAGCAGCAGCAACAGCAGCGGCGGCGGCAGTCGGGCAAAGCTGCTGATGATTGATAGCCATAGCCACATCATGGCCAATGGGGTAGGGAGTGAGGCCAGCCTAAAGCTGTCTATTTGTCTAATCCATTAAATTCTCACGGTTCACGCCTGAAGCATAACAATTGCCACTTAATTAACACCAAACCGAACAAGCAGCGTCGTTTCGCCAATGTGTCGAAAATATTTCGGCCCTTTTGGCCGCTCGGGCCGCAGGTGAAGTGCAGGTGAAGGGAGCTGGCGCTGCTCTCGCTCTCGCTCTGACAGTTTTGTCATGCCAACTCTGGCGCGTGAGTCGCATGAGAAGTGATCGCTGAACAATCTTCAAGTTGGCTCGATATCCATGTCGAACCGTTGCATTTGCCAAATCAAACAGCGGCTGCAAACGTGTGGCGTCTGCAATTACAACACAAAGCGGCGAGGCGAGGCGAGTCGAGTCGAGTCGAGTGGAGTGAAGTGGAGTCGAGTCGAATGGAGCTACATGCTCCAAACATGACGAACAACAACTGTCATTGTCACATCCAGCAAGCAGCAAGCAGCAGCAGCAGCAGCAGCATCAGCCGCACCACAGATGAGCTGACTGCATTTTGATTTCGTTGCACGTTGCACGTTCCACGTTGCCCATTGCCAGTTGCCAGTTGCAATTCATTAGGCCGCCAGACCATTTTGGGATGCGCGTGCGCCGCTTTTGGCCGTCGCTGTGGGCCGTCTCTGTAGTGCAACATAATCTTAATCCGCTCGTTAGTTTTATTGATTAGGACGAATGTCTGCAGTGCGACTGCGCAGCGCGACTCTTCGGAGACAACAATTGTCGCCTCGCTGTGCCATATTTGCGACGGCCACTGAGACAATGCCAGAGAGCAGCCGCATCCAGCTACCGGGGCCCACAATATGCCCCCGTGGGGTTATAATGCCAATAGTAATGGCATTGCTATTGCCTAACGACAACACCTCACCTGTACCAGTGTCTGTCTGTCTGTGTATGTCTGTGTGTGTGTGCCATTGTTGTGGGCTTCAGGTGAATCATTTGCCAGGCACTTGAAGCTGTTCTCTAATCGTAAATGGCATAATGTGCGGAAAGCGTACCAAACGAACATTAGCAACGGGCTTTTCAAATTAATTGATTGGCTTACTTTTCATTATATTGTGCAAATGCCTTTGAAGTGAAGCTGGAATTCTATATACATTCAGTTTGGCATTGTGTGTATAAGTATGAGAATTTAGCTAAACTTTTATTCCAAATCATTAAGAGCTGAGTTGCTGTTCAAGTTTATTGATTTGATTTACATTGTATTACTGTTT